AGGTTCGGATCACTGCGGGCCTCCGTTGATAAATCGACTAACACGATGTTAAACGTTCGAGTAAATTACGATTCTCCCTTTCGGAGCAGATGGCTGATACGGTTGATTTTTGCTTCTCGAGAAGCTTTCGTTTCTACGAGGCTAACCAGGTCGCGATTTTTCGATTATTTCTCGTCAATCTTCGACGAATCCGGTCGTACAGGTTTCGCATCCTGTTACGGGTCTCGGCGAGAATCCATTTTACGGGTAAACCTGGCGAACTTGAGTGGTCGGTTGGAATCGACGATCTGAAACGAGTTTAGAAAACGATCGCGAAATTGAGGCGTGTACCAGAGATGAGATGGGTAATTAATGACCGTATAAGATTAAACGGTATAATCGAAGCAATGTCTTGTTCGTCCGAGATAACGAGTATTTGCTAACATTTCAACTCGGGTAGACGTGTGCTAAACCGAAAAGTTATCTACCGTAAATGCTGGTTTAGGAACCTTTGGTCAGGTAATCGGTCGCGTATCGACGCGACAGGTAATCGATTAAAGCCTCTCTCCAGTCTCGTATAAACGCGAACCTCTCGAAGGATCTTCCATTGATGTGCTTTTGGAACGCATTAACCGAGAAACGAGCGTGTGTATGTACGTGTGTGTGGCAAATGTTTCGGAACTAATTTAAAGTTAGTCGCGGCTCCGTGGCGGCCGTGCTACATACGGCGTCCTTTTAAAGACTTTGCAGGCAATGTCGGTCGGCGCGACGGATACGTGCGAATCCGTCGATTAAAAGCAGAGACACGTACATGACACCGGCTGCGAGCAGCCGAATGAAGCTGAGATCCGAGGCTACACCACCCATCCTTTTGCTCTCTCCTCTCTGTCTCTCTTTTGCTTCGTCTCACCCTGGCCTCGCCTCGCCGCGATTCGATTTACATCGATACGTTGCGATCGCGTCGACAGGCTCGTTCAACTTCCAGTTCAAGTTTCTGTTCTGGTCGTCGTTTCGCTTTGCTTCGCGTACGACTGCACCTGTTTACCAATCTGCACGACCGCGCAAATTGAGAGTAACTCGAGCGTAAGGACGGTTCAAACTCCATTGTTCGCGTACCGGTGCCGCGAGCAAGATGACCCAGCTGACGGAAACGGGAACTGCAGCTCCGCCATCGGTTTCCAGACGATGTTTGCGTATTTAAGTGTTCCTGATTGAGATCATTTCGCTCGAGACAAGATCGCGTTCGGGAGATCTCGCTTTCCTCCGACTTTTCCAAGTTTTCGTCTTCTTCGAATCGTTTGTATCCTCCTCGGCAGCTAGGTCCTCTCGATACTTTGGCGGGGAAGATTTGTTTGCCGGGAGTAAATCGCAAACACGCCGAAACCCCGGGAAAATATTTGTTTCCGCGTATCGAGTTTGATGAAAACTCGCGAAAACCGGCAACGAAGACAATCCAATCGATGTACCGAACGATTTGCGAAAGAATCGACTCCCATCGGAGAACCTTATTCTTGTAAAGTTCGATCACGAATTTTTCTATTTTTCTTATTTTCTACTCCCTGTCCGGTTGATTTACGGCTGTTTTATGTAGTTTCGACCCCGTGCCACGGTCAAAGCGTCCCTGGGACTTGAACATTCCCGGAAACGGAATCGTGCGTCGAACTCGTGGGTTGTTAGTTTCAGAAAACAAACGATACACGCCACAATTTACGGTTGATTTCGGGCTCTCGGCTGTTTCCATCGGGAATTCGGAGTAGCGAAACTCGACGATTCTTCCGGCATTGCAACGAAACGCTTCTAAATTAATTAATCCCGGCGGAATTAAGGGGAATTAAACGGTAGAAACTATGCTGGTCCGAAAGTGGACGTCAGCTTCGAGCAATGCACCTCAATGGAGTTAAAGGTTGTCGTCGAGAGTTCGCCAACTACTAACACTCGTGTCTGTTTCGTTTGTTACGCGCCCCTTTTGCGAGCTATAAACGCATCGAGATTGTTATAATTTCACAGAAATAGAGTAACACGGTGCCCCTGAGCACTGACTGAGAAGAAAGATAATCCATTTAATTCTAAAACGATTCTCTTTTGCGGACGAAATCACTTTAAAAATACAGACGTCACCTCCGTTTCTTTTTTTCTATTTTAAAGAGTTCAACGGCCGACGATATCAAGCGGTTTTAAATTCAACATCGATCGTTTAAATTCTTATGCTAATACGTAGGCGATAATCATCAGGCTCTACTCGCGTTCGCCACACACGAACCAGCACACAATCGCACACGGTGACCAAATTCCCTCAAGTCCTTGGGACTGAACGATCTCGGAGAAGTGAAATCTCGAAACTGGTAGTACGCTAGATTCGACGAAAAGGTCGACCTGAATACTTGAAGCATCGACAGCGTTTAAAGAGGAAAGTGTTCTCGAAGCTGAAGGTAGGCAAGCTAGTAGGAGGCACGCAAGTTTCGCCGAGCAAACGTTCTCGAAAAGTAAACGGAATAGGTATGGGTAATAGAGTTAGCTGGTACACCCTGTATGTATGAAGGGGCCGTTGGCTTAAATTGCCTCATGCCCGCTCGAATCTTATCGCCCCGGGGCGTCGTGATTGTTAGGAGTGCTCGGTCCGTTGCATGGCGTGCTGGATACGGCTTTCGTTCGTATTTCGCGACGGCGGGATCGTGTGCGAGTACGTGAGAGGTCGCACGAGGGTATCCATATAATATCGATAGTCGATTTGGTACACGGTGTATCGCAGAATCGGCTGTCGGCTTAATCCTCATCGCGCGAAACGCTCGGGTTCGCGTCGTTTGCCCGGCCGGAGCAAATAAAAGGAAAAGCCGAGCCGCGTGCAGCCGGTACAAGCCAGCCAAAGCTGCTGATACGTGTGTACCAAAAACCGTATGGTCCGCAAGGGTTTATTACAGCGGTGGCGCGAGAAAATTTTTCAACGGATAAACCACGGAAACGGCCAGCAGCATTTTGTTGCCGAGTTTTCGAGGAAATACGTCGATTCGATGTGTTTTAGAGCACCGTTCGTTCGGCTAACGTTTCGAATTGGATTCCACCTATTATGATATTATTATCGTGATGGTGATAGCGCAGTATGGTGGGCGCGCGTTGGTCACGGAGAAATTGGTAAATCTGGCAGCCGCAACGGGGCGTGCGACCGAAAATAACCTGCGGCTGCGAATCGATTAGATTGCCTGTTCCGCGTTGCCAAAGGAATTCTTTGCGGTACGCGCGTCGGTTAATTGGCAGGTAATCGAATAAATGGCCAACCGGTTCATCCTTGTTGGCGAACGGCGCGGCGTGCGAATTCCAGCGGTATCGGCCCCCGGAAAACATTCCCCAGTGGGGCTATCTTGCCTCGATTTGACCGACCTCCAACCCCCTCGATAAAAGAGAAAAGTTTCCTCGGTGAATCGTCGTTAATTCCGTCGGAGTTCTCCCTGCTCTTCGACGAAGAAGCAAACGTCCGAGGAGGAAGGGAGAGAGGTAAACGGTCGGACACGGACGAGCAAATGTTACGTAAGCGAGGCACACATTTTTCGGAACTCGTTAGAAAGGCAATTTAACTTGCCTGCTCGCGTCCCACGTTAATACGACCACGTTATCGGCTTTCCGCGACTTTTCCCGCCTCGAACTTTCAGCTCGCGAACGCACCGTTCTCCTAAACAACGCTTGAAGGGGTGCCATTTGAATTTTTACCCCTCCATTTTTCTTTTTTTCTGTTTTTTTTTTTCTTTTTCGTAACTGTTCCGTTGACGCGACGCGGGGAATTGCAACGTATCGCATAGCGACATAAAATATTTCGTCGCGTCGCTGTTTCCGCTGTTGTTCCTCTATTTTTCTGTTCGACGACGCAACAAGAAAAGGGGAAAAAAGCGAAGGAAATCAATAGGTGGTCGCAGGAAATTGAATTCGACCCGCGTAAACTGGCCAACCTGTATCGCAGCTGCGTGCCGCCAATGGCTACTGCAAATAAAAAAGGAAGAACGAGCGTGAAGGAAATAGCGCTGTCGGTGAAACGCGACCGAGCCTCCATCGAGATTCATTCGATTTCTAGTCTGAAAATATGTTCAACCCTTTAGCCCCGGTACGTCTGTTCCCGGTCATCGAGTTGGATATCTATTCCCGTCTGACACTGAACGCGATTGATGGAGGGTGCAGGTGGTTTCTCTTTTTAACTTTTGCACCCCTAAACGCGCCCCTGTCGATCGATTATACCCAAGTCTCTTCTGTCTATTTCATTCGTAGTCGATTCACAGGGTTAGTTTGTTAGCCGTCGTTATTTCTGTCGAGATTCCGAGGTGAATTCATTGCTCGAGGCTCGAAGGGTTGAAATATCAATATAATTCAGGATCCAACTAGCGAAGTCCGATATTTTATTAAAATTGAAGAGGAATATATTTTCTTATAAGATCTCGGGAAACGAAGACAAAAATTTTCAACGTTGCATTTCACGGAAATAAGCTTTAATTGAAAGCAATAATAATAAGCTTGCTTGGAAAAAAGAAGAAAAGGAAGTTACAGAAAATACTCGGCCATTTCCTTTTCCAATTTGTTTGCCATCTCCTGTTCGTTGACGTATTTAAGTATTTCCCAATATTTCCGTCTTGTTCGCCGTGTTAGGTGTACCGCGTAAAGAGGAAAGCAATCTCGCGAATGCCTACGGAGAAGCGTGTCTCTCCTCGAGGACACGGTGTAATTTAAACACGGCGAAGACATCGCGACGGAATCTCGGAAAACACGAACGCTATTCCGTTCTTCTTCCCAGACAGTTCGCGAAAATGAATTCGCGAGGTCGACCGAGGCGTTCAGATTAAAAGCAGCGACCCGGTGAAAAGGTTCGAGGAAAAAACGACACGAATGCGTCATCTATCAAAGGAAACTTCTAGAGTGTACCATGTGGCACGAATTGTGATTAGACTTCGGATCAAGTTCAATATCTAGGTAGGTAAGGTAGGTACGTGTAGTCGGAAAATTCGGGTCAAGTCCAAAAGAAAAATTTTCTCGATTCTACTCACCTTCCTCGTCGCTGCCGATCATTGCGTAACGCTCGTATCCTGTGAGATTCCTCACAGCGCCCAGACCGAAGTCGTCCTTTGTCCATTGTATAGGCCCCTTCTGGTCGAGGACCCGGCAAGGAAGCGTCACTCGGCTGCCAATCACCGCCGTCTGATCCATTGGCTCGATCGCGAATCGTTGATAAACTACTTCGGTGGTGGTGATTGGCTTCACTGTGGATGCTACCGGTGACACGTTCGTCATGTTCGCGGCCGACGAGGTTGTCCTGGTTCCCAGTGTCAGTAGCAACGACAGCCAGATTATAAACGGCGTCGTCAATCGTGTCGTGTCCCTTGTTCTCCTGCTGAAAATCAAATCGTCCAGCCGGTTAGTGAAAACTATTAAATCCTGTATTTTAACATTGAAACGTATGAATTTCCATTTACATTCATTAATAAAACATGGACTGTAAAACTCCATGTTTCTCTACCGTAGTAGGAAACATCCATCGTAATGTGATGGATCAAAGAACGATTCCTCTCGTTCTAGGGATAAAGCTTGAACGTCAAACGAATCGCAGCTTCAACCAGCAGCAGTCAAATGGTTAAGTAGAACAAATAGGGGTAGTCAGTTGTGGTAGGAAAGGAAAATAGAGCAGCCCATAACGAAGCGGTTAACGGCCGCGAATGAACGATTAAAAGTCGGCAACTTCGTAACCCGCGTAATATGTTTCGTGTCGTAAATTTAACTCTCGTTGTCGGGAATCACTCGTCCCTTTAAAACTTGACAATATTTGCGCGTAGCTCGCGAAAGACTAGGTGTTCATAAATTATCACTCGAATCGGATCGAGAGGAGGTGAACAATCGACTTACGGATCCAAAGGCGATATAAAGGCGGCACTAATAACGCCGACGCTCGTAACGCACTTATAGCGTGGCAATAACATTCTCTCGGTCAGTTGTAGTTAAAAGCCCGTTGAGTTCGTTATTTAACTTTCTTCACCCCCGCTTTCTTCCTCTCCTTTTTCCACCAACCACCGGCCCGAACGTTTGAAGCTTGTTTAACGATCTCGCAGACGGTTGTACACACCGTTTTACCTTCGAGCCGTACTTATTTATCTTTATAGTCCCATCGGATTCGGAAACGAGAACCTAGGCCCGAGAGAAGTCGTCGCCGTAAATGGGAGGATAAAACTATAGCCAGTGTACTAGTAATTTATTATTGCGTTGTAGAGCGACGTTACAGCTGCTAGCGCACGTGATGCCACCATTATGAACAGAGCGGTGCAAGGGTCTTGCTTTTCTCTCTTTTTTCCATCCTGTTTGTTTTCTCCTCCCTTTTTTTTACGAGAGTAATACTGTTTCGTCGTTGCAGCGAAAAAATACAGCCCGCTGCCGGCAATTATTACGTCGGAGACGTTTTACGAGGACAAAGAGCGGACGATCTTGCGAGGGAACGACGAAGAGGAGGGTCCACGCTAAACGATCGAGAAATACTTTAATAAAACTCGATCAACTTCGTTCGTTGCTGCGACAATTATGTCTGTGGCCCGGGGCGACGTGATCGATATTGAAATTCTTCATAGCGAACGATATCTGGTTCGCGTAATCGAACGGATCGGTCAACGAGATTGCCGTAACGTAGAAAACTCCTCGATTCTCTTCTCCCTGTTCCGCATTTTCAAACGAGTTCGCGTTCGAACGAGAAACGCAACAGTCTGGCGACGAGTGGTCCGCTTAATCGTTCCATCGACCTCTCAATTAACTTTCATTCGTCTGGCTGACGCTCGAATCGTTCCACGTCGCGTCTGTACCGCCTGTCCGCTTGTCTCGATGAAAAGATTTATGGCCATACCGCTCGCTAGTCATCAGAGTTCATATAGACCTTCGATCAGATTCCAACAGTTGCCATGTGTAAGTCTAGTGTCTCTTAAGTAGACTTATCGATAGACTTCGGTAGAAAAAAAATAGAGATGGGATCGAGTTTAATACGTATCATTTGAATAAATTGGAAAGAGAAAAATTTCATTTCTAACTCTAAACGAAACACACCGCTCCACTCGTTCTCCTTCTCTCGATTTCTCGCTCTGCTACGCTTAAATCGGCATAAATTGCTCGTTGAACGTGCAGAAGATGGTCGAGCATTTCATCCTCGCACACCGTGCATCAACTTGTCCGTAATTTGCCCCCTTTTGTTCCCTGTGCGCGCGAAAACGCGGCACGCACGCACCGTTTGAAAAGCATTCCGCTCGTTACACGTCTCGCTCGTGTTTCTTAGCGACGGAAAGTTGGACGAGTCGGTGGTCCGTTGCATCGCTGGCGGCATAAGGGTGGGATGTCGTAAGACGGTCGTACGACATCGCGTGGCCTGCTGCGTCTTACGAGCTCAATAGGATAATAACCTCGGCTGGTCGGACTGGCGACCGAATCGTTTCAATACCAGCCTACCGCGTAATGGGACGTAATAATAATTGCGCTTGTGCCCGATTTGGTTGCGCCCACCTCGTCGTGCTCTGCACAACAGAGAGCTTCGAAACGCGTCCGGGTAACGCATCCTATGTGGGCCACGTTTCCTATCGTCGTTGACAAATGCCTGGATCGGCTGCGGCTTTGCGGCTTTGCGGCTCGAATCGATAGGCGCCACTTTAACGCCGTTCTCCGGGCTCTTCCCTCGTTTCCGTGGGAAATGAAAATACCGAACGGCAACGCTTCTTCCACGAGAGAAGGATTCTCCGAGTTGCATGCGAATACGGCGAGAACAGGTAGGATAAGGAGGAGCAAGCGATCACGTTCGAAGACAACAAAGAGGGGAGAAGATGCGGGCGAAGTTGGATTCCGTTAAATTGCGCGCGATATTTTTCTGCCAAGCTCCAATTTTCGCGCGGAAATAAGCACGTAGCTCATACCGAGCGATTCAGCTTGCAGGCTGTGAAATAGTCTGTTAACGAGATACGAGAGAAATTTCAATTTTTCGAACGACAGCCAGCTCTCTGTGTAACCAGTTCATCTCGCGATTGATACGTTTAATTATTTTCGATCAGACGCGAATGTCAACGGGGGCTTTGTTTGTTATTTAACCAGACTGACATTATAATTCAGGAATTACATTGTAGCCCCTGGTATGCCGCGATAAATAATCATCGGCAGCAAAAATTTCGGAAATTTATCGCCCGCTCGCCGGTATTTTTCCCGGTACGAACGGCCGTGCCATCGACGGCCCAATCTATGGAACGATGCCTCGCAAATCAATGATTTTTAACCATTACCGGTCGCTCTGCGATTTCGTTGTCCCGATACAGTCGTTCGTTATGTTCACGAATACCGGCATAATCGCGGCTCGATCGAAACGAATGGATCGACGGGTCGTTAAAAAATCCCGTATACTGCTGGAAAAAAAAGGTACGGAGGAAAATATTCGTTAGCCTTTATGCAACGAATGGCTGAAAGGCAATTAAAAGTTTCGATGCTACACGCAACGAGGATAATGGTACGCTTCAGTGGTCGGGTTTGCAAAAACTCAAGGCTGAATTTTAATTTCGTTCAAATGCAATCTATCGTCAACTGTATAAATCCCGCGTGATTATGCTTGTTTCTTTCGTTATTACTATGCCGATCGTTTATCCAAATATACTATTTTTCTATCACAGCATTTCACAATGATAAAGTAGTATACTTTATCAATGCGCTCTATTCTCCTTTCTCCCTTTTCCTCTCACTGTCGTTGCACAACCACCAATTGAGCTATCGCGTAACTGTACGGCCGTAGATCATGTTCCGCCGATAAAACGGTGCTACACAGAGGAGACTCGCGATAATTAATTGGTAGCTGCTCATCCGAACAATTACACCTGAATGCCGCGGCAATTATCAGGCGCGACGCAGGGACGGCATCGAACAAACGCACACGTTTGTCGCGCGGCTGCTTACGCGCGTCATCGAAATGTTGACGAGAGAACCGGATAAAAAGGCTCGTCGAGAGGGGGCTTAATCGAGTTCCCGGCACGTTCTACCGTCAGAGAATGCCACTCTCGTCGCGGAAATTATGTAAGCCCGTGGCTCGAACAACGTCCACGTGTATTACGGCTGGAAAAATTCAAGCGAAGCTGGGTCTGACGGGTGAAAATCGAATCTACCAGGGTTATGATCGGAGCCAAAGTCGTTTGAAACACAGTCTGCGTGGTCGGAGAGTCAAGCCGAGACATTCAGCCTCTGATCAATTTGTCATTGCTCGGCCTGTAACCAAAGATACGAGTCCCGAGAGGACGGGGTTTCTGGAAACGATCAGCCTGCGTGTACATACGCGGGGATACTGCTCGCGCGAGTACGCGCACCGAGCGATATTCAACCGATCCTGGCACTCGATTCCTCCCACTTCGATTGCCGTATAATGTTGAAACCGAAGATATCGCCTATCGGACAAATTTATTGACTAAAATGTGTCCTGTATATCTTCCACCGTTTCAGAGCTATAGCTTGACCCAATTACGAGTACAACGCATGATTGTTCGCAAGTTGGGTGAAAAGGATTTAAAAGCTTTTAGAAAATTAATTGAATTGAATTGTAGCACTGAACAATGGTAGCCGCTATGGAAGGTAACGTGTTAATCAGGATAAATGGTCCCTTCGAAAGAGACACGATGGGAATACTCCCTTCTCTCCGATGGTCGTTGTTTTGCTACGCTCTCGGTACGTCGAGCGCCGATAACTACGAAACCGCAATATCCCTCCCCTATACGCCTTTCAATTTGAATAATCCGATGAATAAATTTGCCAAAGCATACAGCCCGTGCAATCGCAACAGCCCGTTTATCTCTTCTTCCGACCAGTCTCCCTCGACCGCCACATTCCAGTTGCATCGTCTAATTTTTGATTGGCTTCGAGAAAACGTGTCGGACTTAAACCGTGCCTAGAATAGACCAGCAGAGAGATCAAGTTACCACGATGAAACTGAAAATTCTAGCTCTATTCCCGGACAGATTGGTCGGCATTAACGAAGCCATTAGTATTTTCTTAACTTCTCCTGGGCTTCCGGTTGCAGGTTTGCGCGAGATGCGATCAACGTCGACCAGCTGACGCGCGAAAAAACCTTTCGAGTGGGTTGAACCGACTCGAACATATCATTTTTATCGAGCCAACAGCTCCACCTCCTCCAACGGATAATCTATAATCGCTTCGACGGATTTCGATTAAATATCTATTAGCTGGCGAGCTTTTTGAACGGACCTGTAAAAAAAGCGAAAGGAAAGTAGGTTGGATCTTGCTGCCGGTGTTTTATCCGGATTTTCGAAGAATTTTTATTACAAATCTTGACGTATTAGTGTCAGCCTTTCAACACGTAAATGGTACGCTACTTTATCGATTTCT